TTTTTTTGAAAATGATCGAGCTGTTCAACGAGCAATTTTCCCGCCGAAAATTCAAGTGCCCGTACATGAGGACCACGCGTACCTCTAGACTGGACTTGAAATCTTTAAGTTGTATTTGGACGGGGAATATTCTCCTAAAATCTCAGCTTTCCAGCTTTTCTGGTTCCCGAATCAGCAACTTTCCAGCCAAAACTTTCGCGGGGCGTACGTGAATTGGAGGCGTGCCTGGGGATGTTTCCAGGAAATTCCCAGCCCATGTACAACTTAAAGATTTCAAACTGGGCTAGGTCTGAAACCTTTAAGTTGTAAGTAGGCTGGGAACATCCTTTTAAAATTTCAGTCCCCCAACATTCCTGGATTCCGAGTTAGCAATTCTTCCCGCCAAAAAACTTCATGAGGCCGTACGTGAGAACCACGCACGCCCGGTAGCTCTATTTGATAGGTTTAAGTTGTACATGGGCGAGAAGCATACCCTTAAAATTTCAGCCCCCTAGCTTTTCTGGTTCCCAAGTTAGCAATTTTCGTACTAGGAGCTCTTACGAGGCCGTACGCGAGAATAATGCATGCCTGGGGGCTGAGTTTGAAATATTTAAGTTCTATTTGGATGAAAAATATAAACATAAAATTCCAGCCTTCTAGCTTTTCTCGTTCCCGAGTTAGTAGTTTTCCCGCCAAAACTTTCACACGCTCGCACGCGAGGCCCAGGCGTACCTGGAAGAAGATATCGCGCTCCTGGGGTGGTACTTGGACGAGGAACCAATCGGCAAAATTCTAGCGCCAAGTTGCTAACCTGAACTCGCTTTGCCATCTGATACGTAGAAGTCATGATCACATTAACCCGCACTTCGCCCTCATGGTAAATAGTTAATACTTCCGTGTTTGCCTCTTCTTCGTTGTACTTGTAGTGCTCCTTCAGAGACCTCTGGCCGCCTCTGTGCGAGTAGTCTACGCTATGTTTCAACAAAATGCCACTTCCCTAAAAATTAGGTATTATTAATAAATAGCCTCAAATGTTACAAGAATAAACTGTGCTCTATGTAACATTTGATGACGTCAGTAACACAACTGACAACAGAAAATGAGAACATCTTTTATCCACCGACACTGGACGGGAATCTTGGATAGGGAAAAAGTAAGGCCGCAGACCGGATGAAATTCCGAATTTTTAGGAAAGGGAGTGCATCGCGTAGAAGGGCTTCAAAGCCCAGGTTATTTTTTTTGGATGAAGGTAGGATAAGTTGAGGTTGACTAGAGAAATGAGAAAGTAGAAAAAATCGTTATACAGGGAAGCACCACTCTTTCAACCTCGAGAGAGAATACTTGCCCCGAAGAGCAGCCGCATTTCAGGTGCTTACAGTGAGGTCAGTTGCAGAGTTGAACGATGTTTCGTCGGCGTTCATATCGTTCTTCAGCTTGTACGATTTGCCGGCGCCAGCCAGTTCCAGAGATGTTTGTACTTTCCGTACCGTGAACACTTTCTCGACTTGCAGCTGTTGGTCCAAATGCACCTTGCTCTGAAAGCAGTCACAAGCTTTGATGTACTCGGATATAATCGCCATCCACGGAGATTCCACGTCCTGGGTAAATGTGCTACTGAGAAAAACAAATATCGTTATTCCAACTGCTTTAAACTAATCTTTCGTGCTGGAAGCTTGAACTGCCTTTATTCCGCTTATGAGGCAGTCTTCCATTGTCTGAAAGGTGTCCTATCAAGTCACTAAAGAACTTCGCTAAAAATCTAGTTTTCTCCGAACAGCATGGTGAGTAAAAAGGAGTTACTTCTTTTCGCTCAGATTTAAAATATTGGAAATGTTTTTGACCAAATCTGCTTAAAAAGTGGCATTGCCTTTTAAACTGGGCAGCAGTCTTAACTGATAAATAAACACATATGCTACATATACATACCCGCATGCACACAGGAACAAACATCGTACACACGCACACACACACACACACACACACACACACAGCGTAAATCCGACACACATGCAGAAACATACAAACAGATGCACAAAAAACTGGTACCGACGTGCACACATATATCTACTTTCAAAAATTTTACGCTAATTTTACAGTGATGAAAATATTTCGAGTACTAGCAAATAACGAAAGAAAGGCCAGTTTTATACTGATAAAAAAACCTCTGGTGTTTCAAGTAATCCGGAGTACAGGTAGTGTCTGGAGGGACCCCGCGTCTCCTTGCGCCACTGCCCTCCTACAATATACCGCTGCCCATTCATTTCCACAAATCCTTCAGCATTCGCCTAAAAACGTTCGTCTCAGATATAAAAATGTTGGAACCTCAAATACCAGAATGAAACAGGGTAAGGGATTTTGTGCATTAAGCAAATGATAGCATTTCTGGAACGCGCTGTTGGTAGCTTCTGTATCCTTTCTCGTTCTCTTTTCTCTTGTTTAGCCGAATTGTCAATGAAAATTTATTTTATCCCTTGCGTGCAACACTTCAGGCTTTTTTTAAAGTCACGAATGCTGTCACGTTTTGATAACGCGGTTTGGTCTATTCAGCCCGCTATGAAATTCAAAACGCTTTCTCACAAACCAATCCTGGATAACTATAGTCAAAGAATGCTTCAGCAGTGTATGATCAGACAACACAGCCTCCAACTGTGGAGCAACACTCCTCGTATGTAATTCAGTTTCACTTCACTTTTTATTTCAATCTACTTCCGCCCCTTACCCCTTCTCCCCTTCCCTTCTTCCTTCTTACCTCGTTACAGTGCATTAACTGCACAGCGGGGTGGGAGCTGTACTGATCATCCCGTCACTTCCATGCCACAGTTCCCTGTCTGTGTATACCGCTTGGTGGTGAAACGCAAAAAGAGTACCTAAATGCTCGAATTATTAAATTGAGGATTACAGTCCTCCTCTTTCCTTCATCTTCGTCATCCAGCTAATTCCCGCCTTCTTTTACTATTAGGCTAATATTAACACTCTTCCACCCATCGATCCATCATCGTAACAGATTGTTTATTGCTCCTTTTTTCACTAATCTTATCATCCTATCCCCGGCCTTTTTCTAGCTCTATTTTTAGTTTTCTTTTACAGTTCAACTGCATTTAGCTCGATTTTTTACTCAACTATTGCTGACAAATTTTAGCATATTTTAAGGCTTTGAAGAAATGATTTTAGCTACCGCCGTACTCTGGCGATTGATGCGGCGTATAATTTGAAAGTCTTTTG